CCCGGTGTCCCTATGTCCCGGTGTCCCCTATGTCCCGGTGTCCCCTATGTCCCCGCCTCCCGGTGTCCCCCGTGTCCCGGTGTCCCCTGCATCCCAGTGTCCTCTGCACCCCGGTGTCCCCTGCAGCCCGGTGTCCCCCGGTGTCCCGCATGTCCTGGTGTCCCCTGCATCCCAGTGTCCCATGACCCATCCGTGTCCCGGTGTCCCAGTCTTCCCTGCATTGCAGTGTTCCCTGTGACCTGGTGTCCCCTGCATCTCAGTGTCCTCTGCACCCCGGTGTCCCCTGCAGCCCGGTGTCCTGGGACCACCCTGCGTCCCAGTGTCCCCGGGGTCCCAATCTTCCCTGCATTCCGATATCCCCTGTGTCCTCATGTCCCCTACATCCCGGTGTCCTGGGACACCCTGCGTTCTGGTGTCCTTGGTGTCCCCTGTATCCCCTTCATCCCGGTGGCCTCTGCATCCCAGTGGTCTCTGGATCCCAGTGTCCTCTGTGACTCGGGTTCCCATGCATCCTGGTGTCCTGGGACACTCTGCATTCTGGTGTCCCTTGTGTCCCCATGTCCTCAGTGTCCCAGTGTCCCCTGCATTCTGGAACGCAGCATTGCTGAGTATCTTCCAGTATCCAGCATCCCTTGGCATCCCTGCATTCCTGCATCTCCCAGCATCCCGGGGCATCCCATATCCTTGAGTATTACTGTGCATCCCAGAATCCCTGAGCATCCCTGTCTATCTCTAGGCATGTTGGTGTCCCTCCCTTTCCATGCTCCCTTTCATGCCTGCACATCCCATCATCCCGGTATTCCCAGACCATTCCCAGACCATGAGCATCCCAATACCCTGGAGCATCCTGGAGCCCTGGGCATCCTGCCACCGCCTGCACTCCTGCCATCCCGCAGGTCCACAGGACACAGGGGTCCGGCCTCTGTGGGCATCCCTGCGCATCCGCAGGCATCCCTGCATCCTGCTGCATCTCCTGGACACCCCTGGGCACCCCTGCATCCCACTGCCTCCCGGCATCTCCTGGGCATCGCCGCACTCCTGGCTTCGTCCCCACAGCCCTTGGGGCAGTCCCCTCTGTCCCCCCGGACACGGAGCTGCCACCCGCGTGTCGGAAACGTTCGTCTTTATTGCGCTGCCGGGGACATGCGGCTCCTCCCCGGCCCGGCCTAGAAAACGCTGAAAACCGTAAAAAGGAGAGTCCAAAACGGGGGCTGGGGCTCGGCGCTGAACCAAATGGTGCCGAAATGTCCCGTGGGGCTGCCAAGGTCTGTGCGCGGTGTCCCGGCATTGATCCCGGCGCCGTGGGGAGAATCCCTGTGCGGGGGTGGCAGCGGGGACCCTGCTCCGGTGGCGCCGGGTGCCCCACGTGCGGAGCCAGCTCCCGGGCACGCGGCCGGGCGCCCCGCGGGTTCTCCGTGCGCTCATGTCCGTATGGGCACCACCTTGCCCGCGGTCCCGGGGGACACGGCGGTGCCGGGGGGTCTGCAGTGCCCCGGCCCCTCCGGCGGCACCGGCACACACAGACAGGCCACGGTGGCACTTTAAAAAACCACACCTGTATTTGGCATTTCCCGGCGCTGCTCTCTCGCTGGGGTCGGGGGGGGTAAAGATTTTGGAGGGGGGGGTCTATAAAAGCGATACGAAGCTCCAGTTTGCCCGGTATCCGTAAGGCCACGTGGGAGGTGGGGGCGGGAGGGCCGGGGGCTCCCCCTGGTCCGTGCCCCCCTCACAGCTCCATGTCGGTGCTGCCGGACGACGTCTTGAGCGGGACCGAGTCGAAGCCGTCCGCCGTCCTCTGAGAGAGCGAGACGCACCCGGCTGGGGCTTCTCGGGTGGCTACTCCGAGGTTGTGCTCGGCCTCCGGCGCAAGCACACGGAGGGGCCGGGGCGCCCGCCGGGCTGGGCAGCGCGAGGCGGCCGTGGCCTGCRCCTACCTTGGACGTGAACGACTTGATCTTGCCGAAAAGAGACTTCTTGCTGGTGAAGAGGAGGTCGTCCTCGGCGTCCTCCCCCTCCATGATGGCGCAGCTGTCCGCGGCGGGCAGCTCGCTCTCCTTGGCYGTGGAGCTCATCACCAGCTTGGAGTATTTGTACTCCAGCCTGTGGGACGGGCACCGGGGGTGACCCCTGGCATGGGGACAGGGGCGAGCGGCGGCGGGGAGCGTCCCCGGGGCGCGCGCGGGCCCCTACTCGCCTCCGGTTCTTCTTCCAGAAGTAGCAGGCGAGCGTGGCGAGCAGCACGGCGGCGCCCGTGCCCGCCGAGATGCCCACCTTGAGCCAGAAGTCGAGGCTCTTGCAGACGCGGAGCTGCTGGCGGGGCAGGGCGCTGCCGCCGCGGCACAGCCGGGGCTCGCGCCACACGAACGTGGTCCTCTGCGGGCACGGCGGGCTCAGCGGCGGGCACGGCGCGCGCGCGCGGGYGGGCGTCCCGCGCCGCCCTACCTGCACGCCGCCGAGGCAGGCGCCCACGATGGCGCGGTAGTCGGCGGCGGAGCAGAGCGGACAGGCCTCGGCCGTCTCCCAGAGGAAGTGGAAGGTGCAGCCGTCGCAGGTGCCGTCGGGGCATTTGCTGCGGGAGAAGCGCTTGGCCGGACCCCCCTCCCAAAGCCCTCCACGGGGGCGCGGGGCACTGACCGGGCACGGATGGTGCCAAGGGGGATGCGGGGAGCAGGGACGGGGGATGCCTCTGTCCCTGGATGGCACCCAAGCCATCGCGGCGCTGTGCCCGCGCGGAGCCGGCGCCCTGTCCCTACCTGGGCACGGCCAGCGCGCCGGCGCCCGCGCGCAGCGGGTTGCAGCGCAGGCGCACGGCGGTGGCCCGGCCCGAGCCACACGACTGCGTCACCTCGGTGGCCCTGCGAGCAGGGGACAGCGGCAGGTGGCGGCGGGGGGGCCGGAGGATGCTGCCCCCCCCGGGACGCCCGTGCCCACCGGTAGAAGAAGACGACGTCGGGCAGCTCGGCGCTGGCGGCGGCGGGGAAGTCCTCGGGGGGGGCCACGATGCCATCGAGCGCGGGGCCGGCGGTGACGCCTGCGGGCAGCGCGGCGCCGTGGGGTCCCTGCGCGCACGGCCATGGGCACACGGGCCGGGGGGGCCACGGCGGGGCGGGGGGCACCGCTCACCCACGAGGCGGTCAGCCAGGCTGACGGGCTGCGAGGACACGGCGCCCTTGCGGCCCCGCACGTCGGAGGGCACCACGATGGCCTGGCACGCGTAGGCCGTGACGGCGCGCGGGGACGGGCCRCCCGCCCGCGGCTCCGTCACGTTGTCGGCGCACGAGGCCGCCCCCCGGCCCTGGCGCGGGGACGGGGTGCGGGGGTGATGCCGGGCCGGGCACTCGCGTCCCCAGCCGCCGCCGCCGCGTGCCCGCGCTCACGTGGTGGCCGCAGAGGCTGATGTTGAAGAGGTGGAAGTACTTGAGGCCCTTGGCGGTGAAGCTGGGCGCGCTGGCGAAGGCGCGCGGCGCCGCGAGCGCCGACAGGTCGTAGCGCAGCGGGCGGCCGCGCGGCGCCAGCACCGGGCTGCAGTCGCTGTAGCACAGGGAGCGCGCCTGGGGACGGCCGCGCCGCGTCACCCCGGGGTGCCCGCGCCGCCCACAAGGACGGATGGGGCACCCGTGCACGCCCTGGTGTCACCTCTATRGTGGGGGAGTGCGAGGGGGCATCGCCTCTCTGCAGGGGGGTGGTGGCACCCATGGGAGGTGGTTGAGGTGACAAGTGTCACCACCCGCTGGGACCACCCAGAGGAGCTGGCATCACCCTCTGGGGCTCATGGTGTCACCCCTTGGCATGGCCAAGAGCACTGATGTCACCTCCTTGGCATGGCCAAGGAGAAGCTGGCACCAACCGTTGTGGTCTGGATGGTGCCACCTTTGGGGATGGCCAAGGGCACTGGTGCCACCCCTCTAGGAGGGGTGGCACCCCCTTGCAGACGGCTGTAGGAGGCTGGTGTGACCCCGTTGGGGCTGGGTGGTGTCATCCCTGTGGCACGGCCATGCGGACAGAAGGACAGGGTGTCACCCCCTTGGGGACCCCTGAGGGTCCTGGCATCACCCTCTGCAACCGCATCGTGTCACCCACGAGGGATGACCAGGTGGCACTGCCMTCCCCCCGACTGTGCCACAGACCAGGACAGCC